ATACAATTATTTTAAAAATTAATAAAACATCCTTCATGTTTTAATAATCTTTGTATGATAATGATAATGCTACGCTTCCTTTGGAAATGTTTGATACAGAATGACTTGGCAATTAACATGATCAATTTAGAAAAATAATGTATTGTTTTAAAATTAAATTAGTTTGCAAAAAGGCCTTTCAGTGTATATTTCTTATGTATATTCACTATTTTCCCAAATAAAGCTCTAATTTCTACATTTTTTAAACTGTTATGCACCTTAAAATCAGTGTCATATCTACTATACTTAGAAAAGGGAATACAGAAATGTATTATTCCAATGGCAGGAATGTAACAAATATGGATTCTTGGTTGCTGAGACAATTTTCCCATTACCAAGAGCAAAATTACCTCAAACAAGCTGAATGGATTTTCCTAAAAAATTGCTAGCTCAGAAAAACCTGGCAGTGTGTAGAAACCTCATTTTCAGGGCTGGTTCAGACAACTTTATCATCAAAATTGGGACCGTTTACAATTTAATGCAATACAGAATAAGTAGGAAAGTTACTATATTTTACTTAGTTTATATTTTTGACTTGAATAAAAGTTGCAGTTGTCAAGGAAAACTTTTAATTAAACTTATAAAAGATGTGTACTGTTAGAGCAGGATCATTACACAGTGATTACTTGCAGATAAAATGGGATATAGTTTATTTTCTCTTTGATGTAACCTGAATTTACTACTTGTCCCTGTCAACTCAGGTATCTTAAAAGTGAGCTGAGAGTCTGTCTTCTTAAAAATATCCTGAACACTATTGCATCAAATCTTGCATTTTTTCAACTTCATGAGATTTCCAACTTCTCCTGTATATATGCAATATAAAAATAGGTATGTGATTTGCATGTATTTAGGCAGTCAGTTACTTGCTCTGCACTGGCAAGCTGAGCTTTTGAATTACACAGGAATATTTGCCACAGTGCTACTGCAAATTATTACTCTTAACTGTGTTATACTATAGTAATACTTATTTTGAAACTTGACAACAGAACAGTTTGTTTATTTTTGTGATTATTCCAAACACCCCAACATCCAATTAATGTTGTTTTTAACGAAAATATTATTTATCAATTGTTTTAAAATACATTACATGGAAGTGTTTCCAATCATGCCCAGATATACATGATTACAGCATACTGTATACAATACATGATATTAGACTTGATAGATTTAGGGTAAGTAAGACATGTGCCGTATATGACTGTAATACTCTAAAGACTTTAATACATACAGTATGGTTATGCAAAAACTAAACTTGTGTAAATGTCTGCCCACATCAGATCAGTTCACAGAAACGTTAATATTCAGCTCAGAAACATGTAATACCTTGCCTACCCTGATATTAATTTAATTAAAAAATAACCTGACCATTCAACTACTATTACTTTCTATGAATTTTGATTGGTTCTGTATTGGCTGGGAGGTGATGAAAAAAATGCTTTTTGTGTAAAAGATATTGCTACTACTTTTGTGATTCTATCATTTTTATTATGACTGGTATTTTCCCCCTAAAGTTCAAAAGTACAAATTTGAAAAGAACAGATGTCCCTATTGGCCAAACATCATAGTTTGGAAACCTATTAATGATGATAGTACTTTATTCTGACATCAAATCAGGATGACCCTTTGGTTGCAAAAACCTGCAGTCATAAGTCAACTTTGACCTTACCCATAAGCAATTCAGTGCAAAATGTCCTGCAGGATGTTCCTATAGTATGTGTCATTTTTCATTCAAGACATCATTTCAATGTGCTTAGGAAGATATTGTTATGTACAATAAGTTTCAATCAATTGTAATTCCTTCATATTTAACTGTTTGCTAGCTTTTACACTTACAATGTCTTCTACGATACTTGGCATTTTCAACTAGAGTTGAGTTGATGTCTTACAGTCTCTGTTTTAGTTTAGAATGAAGATGTCGAATACTTTATGATATTTCAGGATATATATTTCTAAAAAATGATAAGTTCAGTTTAGTACTTTAGAAGTAACTGAAAGTGACTTGTTTTTCACATTCACACTGTTCAAAATACACCTAAATTTAAAAGGGTTTGGAGGTTATTGGGGTTTCTTACACACAAAGGAAAAGATGTTGTTGTACAAACCAGGCTTCTGATATGGCTTAATATTTAAATGGAAACAAAATCCAACAAAAAAGTCTAAAAGAGTCAGCATTTTGTTTCCATATCTCATATCTCAAGAGATCACATAGCTATTTAATGACCAGCTCATATAAATCATTCTTTGTCTTCTATGACTGCTACATCTGTCTCTTCCAAAATCCTTTTTCAGCTTTTCGACAATATGCAAAAAAGAATCAAACCTACAACCAACTGATACTTTGTTTAATTCTTCATGTCAACAAAACCCTTGGGCTATTGGGTATACAGGTTCTGTTTGCTCTGCAAAAAAGATAACGACAGAAGCCGTAAGTTTTCAGGCAGCCCCTTTAAATACACTGCTCGGAAATATGGGATAAAAATAAAAACAACTGCCAGGAGCAGTTCTGAACAGATATTGCTCAGAATCATGTGTTACAAGTTTATTATTGAAATACAGCTTGTTGAGTAATAGCACATTTCTAATATGACATACTGCACTTGTATTAGAAATATATAAAGAGCATACATAATTTCACTATTTCTGTACTGATGAAAGGTAATACATTAATCATTTTTACTGACCTAGGATAAAGTAGCAGGTCAGTCATCCATACCTAGGATATGCTACAGGCTACTTATTATTACAGTATATCTCAACATACAGTAAGTATTTTTAAGGACATAGAAAACATTACCAGGATCAATATTTTTCTTCTTCAGAAGGAGCACTTCAAAGTGAAACAAAATGCAACATTTTAGTACTGTATGTGTTTATTTTAGAATCATTATTTAAAAAACAGCATAGTATCAACTTGATACATAATGTATAGTACAGCATACTATAGTATTGATGTTCATCTCAATTATATCCAAAGAAAGCCTGAGCCTTCTTTTAAATCCAGAGGAAAGAATGTTTTGTGTTGGTAAATGTGTTGAATGTAATCTGGACTGTTATCATTTTCAGATTGTAAAGTATCGGAAGAAAATATACAATGCTGAAGATATACGGCATAAGGTACATAGTGAAAATAAAATGTTTTTTTTAATTTCTTGTTTTATCATCTTTTATATTATACTGTATGTTTTGTACCATTTTGCAGTATTTCCTTTAAATCTTATTTATTTCATTTTCCTGATAAACATCCAACTCATAAGTACATTTTGACAATACGTCCATTATGTATTTTTTCTGAGAATTGCCTCAATATACCCTGGTAGGATTTCATTTTCTCTCCGAATATTCTCATATAACATACAAGGACATCTGTTTTGATAAGTGCATTTACACATGTTCTCAAGACAGCATTTGATACCAGCTCATCCTATCCCACAGGCTAAATGGCTACATACTGAGTCACAGCAACCCAAATCTAAAGAGGATTAATTTGTATTGCTTCCATTTTAGCTTTACAACAGTTCATAATATTTTGAAAGATAAGGAGTAAAGCTTAAAATGCCACTTGGAAAGAAATTTAACTGATAAAAAAAAATAATAAGCTTATCAGTTGGACCCCAGATTCGTTCTGATGTCACATACATACCTTGGAGTACCCTAGCCACTCAGACCTCAAACAAAATTCAAGACCACTCGGCCAAAAGTCTACCCCTGAGGTTTAGGGGGATTTTAAAGCTTACAAGAGACCTTTTAAGGAGGATTCTGGCTTAGAGGCATTCAGTTATAATCACAGTTTCACAGCACTGGCTCCTCAGCCAGTGCCAAGCACATGTACCAGAACCTGTGGTCCCTCTCATACAGTACCAAGCAGGACTACTATTTCAAGAACACATCATCAGTATTGCAAAACTATCCCTTCTCGTGACAGTCTAAGCCCTGGTCATGTTCCCTGTTAGTGGGTGAACAATCCTAGGTTTGGTGAATTCTGCTTCACAATGACAGCAAGAGCTGACGTTGAATGATTAAAAAGCAATGTTTGTACAGTATGAATGCTTGGCTGCAACAACCCAGCTACCCCTGTAGTAATTTGTCTGACACATGTGCCTTAAAAAAATCAGAAGGAGAATGATAATACCATAACATGCTGATTTCCTGTATTGAATTTAAGTATATGATATGTATTCAACAAAAAAGGCTAGAATCCTTTTAGATTTGTTTACCATGAAAATAAACATTGTAATCTCATTCATAGGACTCCACATGTACTGGGTTCCCAAGTAATTTTGAATGTCTGTCTTGTTCTCTGGCACAGCAAAACACATTCTTACATTGGGGCTCAAAGGTTTCAGGGTATTATTTATACAGTAACAAAAAATGCAGAAAAAATAAATCTGATTTTCTGTCCAAGCCACCTCACATATTGTGCCATAGAAACCGACTATGAATGATAAGACTGACTGAATCTGGATTATGTAGCCTTTTATTAATTTTATACTTATAGATATCTCAACACATTATATACAGTATACACTGTATACAGTACATTATACTTAATGCAAAGCAATGTAAATGCAGAAAATTGTGCATCTACAAAAGTGAATAGAAAAACATGGTTGAGGTGATATCTCACCTGCATATTATCTGTTCAACACTTTCTCCGATGTACTTGAGTTTCAAATTTAAAAAGGGGCGTGCAAATCTGTTGAACCGGACTTCAAGCGCCCTCTTGAAGTCCAGTGCAGGACCATGGACAACTCCTTTGGCTCTCTCTGCCAGTTTAAATCAATATTTTTTTTTCTCACTCCCCGCCTGTGTCTTGATTGGCATTTAAATTACAAGAACAAATGTAGGTCCGCTCAAACGGCAGCCAATCGAGGCTGGTGTTGGGATGTCCTTGCGCTGGTTGTGGAAATAACGGGAGGAGCTACTGTACAAAGCCTGTTTACAGTGGTATCTAGAGGTTGGGAAGGCTGTATTCAAAGTGTGCTCGCTGTCGATGGGATAACGGGACTGTACTTGAGCAGAACTGCCCGTGTACAATTACCACTCTCGTTAAACACAGAGAACACTGCTATGTTGTAATTTTTGTATTGAATAATAATAAAGTTATTTTTTTGCTCTTTTGCTTTTTAATTATTTTTTTTTTCCGTGGGGAAACTGAGCTAAAGAGGAATACTACTTTTGATTTTTCTTTCAAGACCTGTGTTCAACTGATCCGTTTGTGGACCGAAGGGAAAGAAGGAATGGATAGCGAGAAGTATTTGCCGGAGCTGATGGCAGAAAAGGACTCCCTCGACCCTTCTTTTCAACATTCTCTGCGGCTTTTAAATCAAGGTAAATAACCGAGAGAATAAGTATTAGTTTACCTGTCACGGTATTTGGCACGGTTCGAATGTCTTCTGCTTAGCAGTAGTGGTTAGTATGAGAAGTGTGATAACATTTAAGGCAACAGTCGAGTGCTTACGCGGACAGCTATTCAAGTTTTTCAGTCAGGGATGGACAACAACCCTAAGCGCTCTTTCTGTTATCTCTGTCCTTGAAAGCACTTAGGCTTGTATAGCCACAGTATGTTGTTTACCTCCAGCAGCATCTCAAGTTCCGTGCATTTCTCAAAACGTGACTTTTCACATATGGCAGAAAGAAATGAGGTACAGTATAACAACACCGGTAAACATTTGGCTGGTTTAGAGATCGAGTAAACTGGAATATTAAAAACATTATTACTACTACAGTATACTATTACTATTGCTTATAATCAACTGCAGTTAAATTACAGCAGTTTTGAAATAGCCGGGTCTTATAAACGAAGACATACAATGTGTTTCGTTGATACTGCGAGGTAAGAATGTATGCAGATACTATTAATTTCGAGATATTGCATTTTAAATACAGTTTGCCTCCACGCTTATTGTTGGATACCTGAATATTTCATGGTTCAGCATTCCTTACTTCCATCACATCTCAGCTTGTCTCTTTTTGGGAGACATAACTAAATGTGCCGAATGCAGACAGTATCATAAATACTGTATCATTTACTTTGCTTGTTGTGACGAGGAAGCGCTGACTGGAGTATGTTACAGCACTCTTGTTAATAGGCAATCACCTTTTGTATTTCGTTTATTTAACAATAAACCCAATAAAACGATAATGGTGCGGGCATATTTCTTACCAACAACATATTTTAAAGCGTCCCATATCCCCCAAACCAGAACATTTTATAGTTTTAAATTAATCTCTCATCACAAGGTGAAGAACCCAAATCTTACTAAGATTTAACTAATACTAATACATTTTGGCCAACGTCTGACATTCACCACATCTCCAGTATTATTGAATATAATTTATTACATTATCATCATTAAGTTTCAACAACAATAATGAGCTCTGTTTTTCTTGTTACTTTTCAAACAAAATTGATGTCAATAATATTATCATCAGAGTATTTTGTCCTAGAAAGCAGTGGTATCACTGAAAAAGAGGAGTTACATTTGTTTACTAATATTTATGCCTGAACAATAGAACTTTCACAAACAAAACATTAGAATAAAACCACTTTGCCAAGTCATAAAGAACTACTTCTCATACTGTAATAATATCTAGTCATAATGATTCATGTTGTGACGGCATGTTTTTTTTTTTTGATATTATTCACTTATCATTAGAGATAAGAGTAAAATATGCCCTTTACTTACATAGTGCCAGGTAGTGTACCATAACATGCCTAAAGCTGTTAAGACTTTCTAAATTCCTGCACTTAAGTAAGAAAAAACATTAGCAACTTGTTCACTGTGCAATAAGTGTAAGTGAATTGTCTTCTCAGATTTAAGTGACTGGCTTTGGCTTGTATTCTGGATATGCTAAGCTATACAGTGTCTGACATTTGTATTGATTTCAGTAATTAACAGCTTGCCACGAGCACCATGTGGACAGATGACCAACTAGCAAGAAAACAGATATAACATACAGTATGTTTATATTCGGAGCATGAACAGGATATGTTTGTTAATTACAATTGCCAGGACAAAGTTAGGTTCCTTTAGACATGTCAAACAATCGACTTCAGATCACCCTTCTCATGATTCATATTCAAGTTCATAATGTTGCTCTCTCTATGTACAGTACTGTATCATACTTACTCAGAAAGTAGATTTTGAATTATATGTCATTGTATTCAAAAGAAAGATTCACTTGATTCAGGCACACAAAACATTGACAAGTACCTTCCAACACAGACATTTTTTTATTTTCATTTTTGTATCACTGATACAGACAAGTGGTAAAATGCTGGTTTTTCAGAAGACCTATTGCATTCAGTTTACTCTAAGATATTGTAAGTACAGTACATGCTTTTCAATTTAGACTTAAACCTGAGTTCAGTTTAAATAATGAATATATAAACAAAAGTATTCTTTATCTGACATACTTGTTTTTGTTTAAAAACACCAGTTAATAAAAACATTGTAGTGTAGAACACAAACTATGTGTGATATATAATTATAACATATATCCCAAAGCTGTGATACTGTATGTGAGTACATATTATTACTATAAATCTATCAGGATTCATCACTTTTTTGTCATCAGAGGTAAGTATTAAATGTAGTCAAAATATGTATAGTCTTAAAATACCGCTAATTAAAAAAGTGAAATCACGCAAACATAATTTAGATAAAACTGAGATAAAACTTTACATGTATAATGTACATAAAGTACTAAGATATGTTTATTTTTAATGTTTTATTGCAAGCCCTCCATCTCTACTGTATATCTATAACTATTACATATACCCTCTAACAATTAGCAAGTACATCACATGTACATTCAAACTACTATGTTGCAGAAAATACTACACAATATTGTGCATTCTGTGTATTGGCACCATGCATGGTCATCATCTCAAAAGAATTCTATACTTTGTTTCTTATCTGGAAAATTAAATTCCTAAGATCTGCATTTTTCTGGATTTCACATTCCTTACATACACAGTAAAATCCTGTAGTTGAAAAGGCAGTCTCTCACAAGCACTCACCTTTTGAAATCTGCCTTGATGCAAGATATTGCAAATGAAATTCTTTGCTGTGATAAAATAGATCTGCATTCTGCATTTCCAAGCATGAGCTTAAATGCCTTGCCAGTCTCCAACAGGGGATTAAACTGAAGCAATTAGGGCTGCAAAATGAATAATAAAAAGGTTGGAAATGGTAATGCTGACAGTAGTAGCAGTGGTGATTGTGCTGGAAACACGTACAGTATGTGGTGGGTAAGGGGAGAGGGGGCTCAAAATTTTAATTTTAAATTCAGGCTGCTGGCTTCCATGTGCTGTACAATATTCAAAATAATTTTAAAATTGCCATTTTGTAATTCAAAAACTGACAGATCAGGGAGTATGCTGGTGAGCGTTTGAAACATACAGTAACTCTTCAAACTTCCAGACTCATTTTTCTGTAATTAAATGAATCATAAGTTATCCTTCCCCTGTTTTTAACCCTCCTACCACAAGTCGAAAGCCCTGTTGTTATAAACGACCTCCAGTCACTACATTGTTTAAATCCCTGAGTATAATCCATTGACTGACATGTTAGGATTCCAGAAATATTTAATTAGAGTGCTTTTCCAAAAATGTGCATCCTGGGCAATTTTAAACGATTGTACATGTAAATAAGTGCCTGCTATTTAAAAGGTCAAGCACACTTGCTCTACCTGAAAGGACTAAATGCATCACAGGACTTGACCTAGTGATCTCTAGTGCAGATGCAACCATTCTATTTGTTACAGCCATTTAGTGATATATGCCAGCTCAATGAAGAGTATTGATCAGAACGTATACTGTAAGTAGATGGAGTGTAATAAAGAGTTTTATTTTGCATTTTTCACTAACGTTTTCTCGAGCACAAATGCGTGGTCATGCCCTATCGGGCATTTTGTCCTGTTAAGAAGAACAGATATCATTTATCTCAGAAATGACAGATCCATGTTCACATTTAGATTTGAAGATGTCTTCACATACACATTTATGAAAAGGAGAACTGAACTGAAAGTTGATAAGCCATTTAAAAACTATTCAGTGGCAATAAATCATATATTGAAATTAAGTTTATGATCTACCTGTATACAGTAAGCCCTAGGTTTATTTGGTTTCTAGGACTCTTGGTGGTGTAATTTTTTGGAAAGAGAAATATATTTTAAGACATACTCTTAAGACACAAATAATTAAATAACAAATAAAAACACAATGGAAATAATTGGAATAAAATTAAATAAAAGAGTCACTTTTGGAAGTAACATTTGATAATGTCATGAGAGTAAGAGGCACATTATGCAGTGACATCTTCTGGAGAGGAATTTCACGTTTTGGAATGAAGATTTGCACACGTTGAGTGATAACATCTGGTTAGCAAAACATTAATAAAATAAGAACTTTATCCTGCATGATTCACTCAGCATTTATACTCTCGGTGATATCTCAGTGACTATAAAGATATAACACATTGTGCAAATTAAATTTTAGTTTCATTTTTTTTTCCCCAGTTTCAGTATGAAGGTGTTTTTAGTACTGTGAATGTGTATCAGTCATGAAGATGGCTTGTTTTGAAAAAGGTATAAATAAATGTAAGAGCTTACTTTCAGAATAGATTTAACACCATAATCTTTTTGGAATTAGATGAAGACCTTTTTAATGTTACAGTATGTGTAAAGATAAATGTGCCGTATTTTTGTGTTTATCTGTGTTCACCAAGGCAGTAAAGAATGCAAAATAATAAACCTTACAAAAAGTAAGATGAAATGTGCATCAGCATCAACACAAGAGAAAATATGGTACTGTATATAGATAGATAATGCTTTATTAATCCTGTAGGGAAATTGATGATATATATCTGATATCTTTATAACAAAACCTATTACACTAAAGTACTGTATATTTGATTTAAAAATACATTTAAATAGATTTTTTCATAAGGACAAATATTCTTTGACAGTGATCATGGCTGATTCTTATTTAATTCCTGTCAGATAAGTATATAACTCATAAAACCATGTATTTCTGAGCATTTTCTTAAAAGCTGTTTATCACTTAGTTTTATCTTAATTGTTTTTAATAACCCCTGAACATTCTCATTAGCTAGATGTACTGTAGGCTGTTTTAACAGCTCTATTCACTTTCTTAAATAAGGCCTTGCTTTCAGATTAAGTATGTCTTGTATCACATTGCAACACTTAATTGACAATTGTTGTGCTACTGTATATATTGAGAAACATGCTTATTCTTAAAGCAAAACGTTTTAAAAAACAATAAATGCAATATTATAAAAGCCATAAAAGTCTGAAACATACAG